TGTTTTTTTAAAAAGAAAAGGAACCCTGTACAAAAAAAAAAAAAAAAAAAAAAAAAAAAAAAAGAAATGGAGTAGTGAAACCCTGAAATCATTCTTTCAAAAAAATCCCTCGAGGAGTAAAGTCAGTGTCGTGTCCTCGGCCCTTGTGCGTGCCAGATAAACCGATGTGCTCTTGCCAGGAAGGAGGCTCGATCCAGAAAGAGGCACCGCCTGTCCCTGGAGCAAATCCAGCCTCACCACCAGCCCGGGCGTGCCTCCCCGGTGCTCTGCAGTGCTCTGCAGTCCCAGCTCCCCTCCCAGAGCTGTATCCTCGGGTGTCCATCTGTGACCCCACAACCCAGAACACTGTGGCCCGTAGGCGGAGCAGCTGAAAGGAGTGAGGTGGCCTTGGCTAAGCGGGGTCTGGGCTAGCATCCCCCTCCCCCACTTCCCGGCTGAGGCCCTGACAGTTACATGGCCCCCTGCCTCTCGGCCTCAGCACTTGAAGAACAAGGGTAATGTGCAGAATGCGTGTGGCACATGCTCAGCACGCTCTGCAAGGAAGCCCTCAGCATAGGAGCCCTTCTGTTGCTGCTGAGTTGTTTCAGAGTACTGTCAATAGCAAGTGATTCTAACAATTCAAAAACTAGATATATGTTCTTAGAAGTGATGTTTGGCACCTGCCAGTACTTTAAGCCTTTTTAGTAAAAGAGTCCTGGGTTCCTTCTGTCATTTTTGTTGTTGTTCTTGGAGAGGTTTTTGCTATAGGGCATGTGCGCTTGTCAGAAAGAGACAGACAGAGATAGAAAGTGAGAAATCACCCCCCCAGGGGGCATGGCCACACCACAATCCCTTCTCCTCCATTCTCCTCTCAGGATCTTGGGCACGCACTCACATGCACCTGATGTGAGTGTAAGCCGCCAGGTCTGGGACTCAAACCGCGGTCAACTACGTGGGAGTCCAGCCACATAGCCATTACACTAACTGCTGGTCCCAAAAGACAACTATATTTTAAGGCAAATAAAACTAGGTATGAGAGCCAGGTTCAATCTGCAAATCTAATCATATACTGACAATCTTTTCTTTTTTTATTAACACTTTAATTAATTATTGCCACCATATTTTCATCCCAGTGTCTTACACTTAGCAGTCATCCACCTCCATGTGCAGCTTGTGAGAGACCTGCTAGAAGTCACCTCGGGTCTGGTTGCTGAAGACATTATCAACATGAGGAACGACCTATACCAGGTGAGCAGGGACTTCCAGGAGACAACGAAAGAAAAGCCACATGTTTTTTTTTGGGGGGGTGGTATCAGTGGGCATGTGTTATTTTTAGTAATGTTAATAGTAGCAGAAATACAGCAAAACCTCTTTGAAGGTAACATTCTAATAGCCAATTAGCTGCGGCCTTATTAGGTGAATTAGGATCCTTTGATCTGTGGGCATAACAGCAACCTCCCCACGATGAAATTTAGCATCCTGCTGGGGAAACGCACATCTTTAAGTTTCAAAAATCAAAGAGTCGATACGTTTTAGGGAAAACTTAGAGTGAAAATGACACATCTGTCCAAAAAACAGTGAAAAATATTAAGTTTGAAAAGGCAATAATTGGACCAGCAGAGGGCATCATGGTCACATTGCTGGACTCCCACGTAAACTGTGGTTCGAGTCCCAGACTTAGTGGCTTGAAACCCACGCTGGGCACGTGTGCGTACCCAAGATCTCGAGAGGAGAATAGAGGAGAAGGGATTGCGGTGTGGCTATGCCCCCTGAGGAGTGATTTCTCGCTTTCTGTCTCTCTGTCTCTCTCTGTCTGTCTCCCCAGCCAGTGTACATGCCCTATAGAAAAAAATCTCCCTTAAAAGAAAAAAAAAGGCAGTGATTTAGAAGAATTTGAAGTCCATTGAACATACTGTGACAACATTCAGATGAAATGTCCCACAAATAAAGAATACTAAACTCAGAGCACAGAAAAGTGAAAAAGGATGCTTGAGGAAGAAAAGGTATCTTTCAGAAAAAGAAAGACCTGAAGTGAGGAAAACAGGCCACCCGGGTTTTGTCCATGTCAGATTTAAATAGAAATTAGAGAGGCTGTTGCGGAAAACAGTATGCAAGTTCCTCAGAAAACCACAAATAGTACTGCCATGTGAGCCAGCACTCCACCAGGCGTGTGTCCAAATGCGGGAGGGTCAGTGTGTCAGACACCTGCACCCACTTCCCGAGGGCCAGGATTCGGGCTCAGGAAGTGCCCGCCAACACGCAGATGGCGACAGAAAACGTGACACACGTACACAGTGGGATCCTATTCAGCCCTTACAAAGAGTGCAGTCTTGTTCTTTGAGGTAAGATGAGTGAGCCTAGAGAACATAAATGTTAAATGAATTAAGCCAGGCACCGAAAGAGGAATACCGTGGACACTCATTCATGTGAAAACCGAAAGTAATGATCTCACAGAAGGAGGAAGTTGAATCGTGAGTGCTAGAGGCTGGGAGGCATAGAGACATTGATGAAAAGAAATAAAATTACAAGTAAAATAACAATTTCTAGTGCTGCAGAATTTATCGTATAGTTCGGAGTAACTAAAGAAGATTCAGAGGACCAGCAGGTGGCATAATTGTTACATCACTGGGCTCCACATGGCCAACCGCAGTTCAAGTCCTGGACTCGGCAGCTTGAAACTCATGTCCGGCACATGTGTACGCGTGCCCAAAGTTCCGAGAGGAAAATGGAGGAGAAGGGGTTATAACATGGCCGTCCCCCCGGAAGGTGATTTCTCACTTTCTGCCTGTCTCTGTGTCTCTGGTGAGCACAGGTGCCCTATAGCAAAAATCTCTCTCTTTAAAAAAAGAAAAAATAAGAGGATTTTGAAAGTGAGATGATCCAGTTACCCTGATTTACTCATTACACATGTATTCTTACTCTTTTTAAAAAGGACAGAAATAGGTGGGCTAATAAACAATTTGAGGAACTCAATTATAGAGGTCTTCAGACCTGCAGAGAGGGGAGTTAGCTGGAGGCGCAGGGAGGCCCGATGGGCAGTGAAGATTTCGGGTATGGCTGGGGGGGAGGGGCAGTCAGGGACTGCCTGGCAGGACCACAGCCTGGAGGCTGGGTGTCACGAGCCCAGACCTCAGCCAGCTAGGTGAGCTCAGATCCCTAATTCAAGTGTCTTACTCCCAAAATGTGGCCGGTGCTTGTATGTAATTATTTACTTCATAAGGAGAGTACTCCAGTTCATGATTTCTAAAGCAGGTGATAGGAATTACTTTTTTTTTCCTCTCTTTTTTTTTTTTTTTTGAGTGGTTTTTGCTATAGAGCACATGTGCTTGCCAGAGAGACAGAGAAAGTGTAAGAAATTGCCCCCCAGAGAGGATGGCCATGCCACAATCCCTTCTACTCCATTCTCCTCTTGGGATTTTGGGCAGTCATGTCCATGCAACTGGCATGAGTTTCAAGCCTCTGGGTCCAGGATTCAAACCATGCATGGCCAGCCATGTGTGAGTCCAACACCTCAACTACTATGCCACCTGCTGGCCATGATAGGAACTACTTTTATTTCCTCATTTTAAAGGAAACAAATATTATAATTAATACTTAATTTCATTTACTCTTAAAAGAAATTGTTTATTTTCTTACTTACACATTTTGAAGTATGCTTTAAAAGTACGTTTAAAGCAAAAAATACTAAAATATTTCTGTCGCTTGAAATAGACTTTAATGCTTCCTGATGGGAGAAAATAACCATTTCCTATTGAACACAGGCATTAGGGACTCTTTACTGATCCAGAATATGAGCAAACCAGGATGAAGTCTGACTTTATTAGGCCATTGGGAAAATCATGACGTGTTTTTCCGTGCAAAAATGTGTCATAACTCTCCCAAGGACCCAACAGATTAATGGTAAAAGAAAAGCCTTTTCAAACTTTTGTGTCATTTTCAGAAGTCATTAGTATTTGGAGAATTACTTGATCCATAAAACTCGATCCTCTCCCCCCTTTGGACAGATCATTGCTTTTACCAATTGTAAATGTATGAAAAAAACTAGGAAAGGGATTTGATAGCTTCTCAAAAGTCCCCCTTTGAATGTTCCCCTTTCAAAGATGGCTGGCCAAATTCAAGGAACAACTTAAGTTTCTCTGCGTACCAGGGTCATGGTGGGATTAATCTGCACTAACCCCATAGCCTCTGGTCCATGTATTGAGCCCCCGCTGTGTGCTAGAAATAAACACCTGAAACCATTTGCCTTGACACCTCTGCCCCCTGCAATCCGGGGGTGCTCAGAATACAGGCCCGTTTTCCCTCCTTAATAACTGATCTGGGTTCCCTGGTCTGCCTTGGAGACGCGTTTGCTCAGTCTCAAACACACATCAAGTAACGTTCTCTGATTTGCGAACCAGATACTGCTAAGATCTGAACTCTTGTTTCCCTGTTGTAAACGTTCTCTGGTAACTATTCTTGGTGGAAAAGTATACTATCCTCTAAGTAATTTGCATTATTTCACAGTTACTATAAACCTTCTCCCAAATACCTTGTGCTAATCTTAGGACATTCCTGTGACCATCTGTCATGACCAGATCCCTCTTCCCACCCAGCCTCTAGAGAGACACTCAAAATAGCCCAAGTGCGGAGAAGTGGAATCTTTCTGGAAATATTTTTAAATCTGTCCTCCTTAATCCTTTTTCTCCTTGCTGTCTCCATTCCCCCACCAGACAGTCATTCCCTTGTGTTTAATATGGATCGTTTTAGTTGTATGCGTTCCCATTAAACACGATTAGGAGTTACTCGTGCACTTATTTTTACGTTTTAAATTATAAATACAATATTATATTCATAGTGTTAAAAGCAGAAGGAGATGCACTGGAAAGCCTAAGGTGCCCTCCTTGGCCATGTACCAGTCCCCCAGCCTCGCTCAGAGACAGTACTATCGTGTTCGCAGGCATCTTTGCATGTGTCGGCTTCATACATGTACACACCTGAGGTACGTAGGCATTTTCGTGTACACACAATCCACAGTATATTAGACATTTTATTTCCACCCTGCGCCAGCCATTTTCTGTCATTTTTAATCTGATATAAAAATGGAGCTCCAAAAACAGTGAGGCGTCCTAGGGTGTTTACTGAGGGGGACCCGAAGGCCCTTTGGCCCGGTCGTCCCCAGTGGTGAAACATTCTAGTGACTCCAGCCAGCTGTGACTGGGGTGCAGTCCACAGACCCTAAACAGAGCCCGCAGACCAGCACGCGCTCATGATCAGCTAGTTTGTCGTCCCCTCCTGGACGGAATCTCACTGTGTGCCTCTTTCTTTATTTTTATTTTTATTTTTGGAGAGGTTTTTACTATAGGGCGCGTGCGCTCACCAGACAGACAGAGAGAAACAGAGAGACAGAAAACAGGAAATCACCCCCCACGGGGGATGGCCATGCCGCAATCCCTTCTCCTTCATTCTCCTCTCAGGATCTTGGGTGCACACACACCCAGCGTGAGTTTTAAGCCACCAGGTCTGGGACTCGAACCACGATCGACTACATGGGAGTCCAGTGACATAGCCATTACGCTAACTGCTGGTCCCCACTGTGTGCCTCTTTCTAAAGCGTACTTCTTCCCCAGGGGTAGACAGTTCTCCAGCGCCTGCTTCCTGCCTCCACAGGAGCGCTGCGATGAGTACCCCACCGCATTCCGTATGAATTAGAATCCCACCCGATGGGTATGCAGAGTTAGGGTGCTGGTGCGTTTGTTCCTATGCTTAGCTCTCAGGAATGGCTGCCGGGGTCCTCATGCCCACAGGGGTAGCGTGGGGGTTCCTGGATCCCCACGTGGTGCCTTTGCATAATAGATAATCCTGGGGGTTAAGACCTAGAAGCTTGAAATATAGGAAAGCTTTCACGGAACTGTGGGAAAAACTTCAAAACAAAGTCAAATCTTTCTTACTCATGGTAAGATATTTTGTATGCTAGTTTAAATAACTACATTCAAACTACAGATAAGTTCTCATTTCTAAATGATAATATGTTATCATTTCAGAGCCTTTTTTTATGATTTCATTCTTTCTTCTTTTTCCATCTCCCCAATGGCATTTTAGAAAACACAGATGAGTAAGCATTGCCTTTTATTGACTTTTTTAAATTATCATTTTGTTTAACTTTTTTTAAATTAATTTATTTAAATTTGACCAGAGAGGGACAGAGAGAAAGGGAAAGTGAGAACCCAGGCCACCAGGTCTGCCACTCAGGCCGTGGTCTGCCATGTGGGAGTCCAGCACCCTTAACCACCATGCCACCTGCCTGCCCCAACTTATTGATTTTTGGGGAGGAAGGCTTTTGGCAACACTAGCAGAAGTTTTGAGGACCCTGTTCCATTTCAGGCCAGGGTTAGCGTTCTAGAAGATGAGAGCGATAAGGGAGAGTAATCACTGGGGGGAGGGGGGGGGACTGTGCTTTGCTTTGCCGTATTAGATAACCCTGCTCTTGGGGTCAGACGGCCCCAGCATCGTTGGCCTGCCAGCCCCTGCTCTGTGGTCCCCTACACCAGCCAGGGTGTCACGGCCCCGCTGCCACCTCTGGGGCCATAACCACTCACCCAAAAGTCTGGGCACATCCTCCCTCGAGGGGCTGTGCGCTCATAGCTAATGCCCATGAAAGATCGGCTTGTAAAAAAACACGTTTGTGTTCCTGTCAGTCACTTCAGTTCTTCAAAAGTACGTTTTGTAATGTCTTTATCTCGCTCGTTTTGTTTGTGTGTTTGTTGTTTTGTTTTGGAGAGGTTTTTGCTACAAGGCACGTGCGCTCGCCAGAAAGAGAGAGAGAGACAGAGAGACAAAAAGGGAGAAATCACCCACCGGGGGGATGGCCACGCCGCAATCCCTTCTCCTCCATTCTCCTCCATTCTCCTCTCGGGATCTTGGGCATGAACACACACACGCCCGGCGTGAGTTTAAGCTACCGGGTCCAGGACTCAAACCACGGTCAACTGCATGGGAGTTCAGCGACATAGCCATTACCCTAACTGCTGGTTCCTCTTGCTCATTTTTGAGAGCAGTTTCAAAACCTCCTTTGCATTCACCGACGTACTGCCTTGTAGGCAGGGTGGTCGGATGGATAGTCGTCTGTTCGGTGTCAGCGACCTGGTTTTTTGTTTTGTTTTATTCATTTGAGTCCTCTCAATAGATAGTTGTATTGTCCTGGTGACGTCATCCAGAATTTAATCCCGTTTATAAAGTCGAGGTGGAGGGGGGTGATTTGTCTCATGGAGCTAGTCCAGGAAAAATATTTTTTAATTCAGTAAACTTATTTTGTGTGTCGACGTAGAATAATGGCACCTTTGTTATTAACCTCTGTTGAGCTGCTCATTTAAACTTCTGTCAAACCGTAGCCTTGACTGAATTTCCTGACATACAGAATTATCACGCAAGATAGATTCCTAGCAGAAATGCAAGCAAACTAAACTTGCTGCTCAGGGAGTTAATATGTTAACAGTGACTGGGCTGTGAGGACAAGAAAGTGCTCAAGTGCTGCAGACATAGTTGCAGTTGTTGAGTGGCCAAGCGTTGGTGGTTTGTGTGTGTGTGTGTGTGTGTCTGCGTGTGTGGACACATACTCATTAGCATGTGATGTGTAACAAGGAGTAACTGCAAGGTCAGGGTTGATCTGGGAGTGGGAAATGACCCCGCCTGCTGTGGTGACAGCCACCGGGCCAAGGGTGCCCAATGCTCGCCCCGACACGGCCCCTTCTCCCCTGCAGACGCCCCTGCACTTGGCAGTGATCACCAGGCAGGAAGATGTGGTGGAGGACCTGCTGCGGGCCGGGGCCGACCTGAGCCTGCTCGACCGCCTGGGTAACTCTGTCTTGCACCTGGCTGCCAAAGGAGGCCACGACAAGGTTCTCAGCGTCTTACTCAAGCACAAGAAGGCACCGCTACTGATTGACCGGCCCAACGGGGAAGGTGAGCCGATGGCCCTCCCCTGTCCACTTCCTGGGAAATTACAGGTATTTCACGGATTCCTGCCATTGAGCACCTTCTTCCCTGGAGTGCATCCCTGGGCCTTTCTGTGGCTCACGGTAGCTAGTCCTTTAAAGGCCATTTGGTCGTCAGTCAGGAGGAAAAGGCGGGACCTGAGCAGACTCTGGCCTTGAGGGGTGAAGCACCTTTGTTTGGAGAACATTGACTCCCCTCAGCGCCCCCCAAGGACCTAGTGGGACACCGGGTTGGAAAGGCAGGAAGACAGAGCATGGGGTCTCTGAAGACCCACGTAGACACTTCTCACGGGGCGAGGTGTCGCTCCCTGTGCCCGTTCCTGCCACACTAGCGCACAGCCCCACGGTGACGCCCCTGTGCTGGGCCGCAGGTCTGAACGCCATCCATGTGGCCGTGGTGAGCCCCAGCCTGCAGTGCCTGCTGCTGCTGGTGGCCGCCGGGGCCGACGTCAACGCCCAGGAGCGGAAGTCGGGGCGCACGGCACTGCACCTGGCGGTGGAGCAGGACAACATCTCCCTGGCCGGCTGCCTGCTCCTGGAGGTGAGGATCGGGCTTGCCCTCGCACTCCACTGGGGGGGGGCTGCTCTCTCTCTTCAAAGAGTGGTTTGTCCCTTTTGTCCTGAGTGTTTAACCCACACAAGGCACCAGAGTGGCTCCTGCAGGCATCGTCCCCCCCTTTGCTAGCATCTCTAATTGGGGTTTCTCTGACGGTGGGGAGACCCTCCCCTCACCCTGTTCTGTGTGTCCAGGGGGATGCTCTTGTGGACAGCACCACCTACGACGGTACCACCGCCCTGCACATCGCAGCCGGGAGGGGCTCCACCAGGCTGGCGGCTCTTCTCAAGGCAGCAGGTACGTTGGCCGGGTCACCGTACGCGTCAGGAGGGCGTGCAAGGAGTGCGAACCCCGACAGCACAGCCCTCTGCCGAGGGCCGGGGTGCCAAAGGGTACAACAGATCGCACGGTCACTGCTTAACGGCACGTTTGCACTGTCATCTCAGGCCTCACGCTGACACTCGTGAGTTTTCATTCTGGATCATCTGTTTGTTTGAGGTTTAGGGTGACTCTCGCACGAGGGAGTTAAAGTAGAGTTGAACTCCTTATAGAATTGTGAGTGGTACTAGTCTCAGCTCGTATCAGACAGCATGAGGACAGAGGACGGTCGGGTAACAAATGCCATTTTGCAAGAAAGGTCCTTAAACGTTAAACGATAGGAAAAAGCAGTTGGACTATGGATTGGGTACCGTTACGTGTGAGGCACCAAAAGTTGCTCATGTTTGTGGGCCCTACTGTGCACCAGGCACTGTGCGAGGCGCTTGGTGTGCACGGTCTCCTTTAGCCGCCTCAGCCCACAGGAACCCTTTGGGATAAGTACTGTTATCATTATTCCCGCCCTGTACTGGAAGAAGCAGACCAGACCCTCCCAGGGCCCCAGCAGGTGGGAGAGTGTTGAATTGCACCCCTGTGGTCTGATCCCTACTATCCTTCTGCTTCTCTCCCCTGCTCTACTCCTGGGATGGCAGGTCAAATGGAGTAATGTTTACTTCTCTACTCCTGTGGAGTACGGAAGGCTAGCCTTGCTCTTCCTTGAATCTCCAGTGACTTGAATCTCACTCGACTAGTGAAATTGGTATTTCAGACCTGCCCAGACATATCTGATTGACTCTATTCATTTATTTCTTTAAGAGGGATTTTTTTTTTTTTTTGCTATAAGATGCATGTGCTCACCAGAGAGACAGAAAGCAAGAAATCAGCCCCCAGAGAAGATGACCATGCCACAATCCCTTCTCCATTCTCCTCTCGGGATCTTGCACGCACACACAGCTAGCATGAGTTTCAAGACACAGGTACAGGACTTGAACTGTGGTCAGCTACGTGGGAGTCTAGCAGTGTAACCATTATGCCATCTGCTGGCCCCTTGATTGACTTTAAGGATTTAAAATGTTTTAGGGCTGGCCCCACAGTCCAGTGGTTAAAGAGAGTCAGACCTCATGTGGGCTGGCCACAGTTCGAGGCCAGCCCTGGCATCACCTGTGTATGCACCCCAGCTCCTAACAGAATGCAGAAGGGGATGTGGCGTGGCCACGCCCCACTGGGAGGGCGCTTTCTCGCTCTCCCTCTCCCTCTTCCCTTCTCTGTCAATTGCACACATCCTCTGGCAACTAAAAAAAATTTTTTTCAGGAAGAGGTAAGCACCTCATAAGTTTAAGAAAACAATGGATTAAAGTACCATCTTAAAAATAGACCCTGGCCCTTTGAGGAAAACCTCCACCTCTCATCTTCAAGCCACTAGTGATGTTTTCTTGCTGGAAGCTGAAGAGCAGACTCTTGTTTGCCAAGATTCATTTCTCCTAAACTTTCCAGCAACTATGCATCTTAGAAGGTTCTGCTACTGCGCAAGGGTCAGGACCTGGCAGTGCTTACCCAGAAACCAGTCCCCTGGGCTGGCACTGGACATCAGGCATCTCTGCTCTCCGAGTGCGTGAGAGAAGAGGCCGAGAAACAGGCGAGCGCTCGGGACATTCGTCCTGAAGGTGCCCTCCGCCTGGTAGCCTGCTGTCCACTGTGCCAACCTGCATCAGTCTGCCAGAACACGCCTAGCGAGGTAAACGTGGAAGCCAGAGCATTCGATGTTTTTGGTTTTCCAAAGTGTCCTTGGCTATAGAGCATCATAAAACATCTTTACCGTCAATGGGGACCGGCAGGTGGCGTGGTGGTTAAGGTGCTGGACACACACATGACAGACCACTGTTCAAGTCCTGGACCTGGAGGCTTGCTTCCTCCCTCCCTCTCCCTCCCTCTCCTTCCCTCTCCCTCCCTCCCTCTGTGTGTGTGTGTCTGGTCAAATACAAATAAATGAATAAATAAAATGAAATAAAACTTTAAAATTAAAAAAAAATCACCTTTACTATCAAAATAAGTTTAAGACCAGGTCTCGGGGTGTCTCGGCAGAAACCTGCTTTTGCATTAAACACAGTCCAGGTAACGGGTTGTCTCTGCGGCTTCTGCCGTTTGCGGCGGGCAGGCGGCAGGCCTCGCTCTAGAGTCCCGAATGCCCTCTCTTGTCCCTGCAGGAGCAGATCCGCTGCTGGAGAACTTTGAGCCTCTCTACGACCTGGATGAGTCTTGGGAAGAGTCTGGAGAGGATGAAGGGGTCGTGCCGGGGACCACGCCCCTGGATATGGCCACCAGCTGGCAGGTGAGGTCTGCTGGGGGAGCTACTGGCTCTAGGAGGCAAGAGCAGACGGTCTGATGGTGCTTTGCTCCCCAGAGAACGTGCTCGTACTTACAAGTCTGCCAGATTTATCCTGAGAAACCTATCCATGAAAGACAGCTCCAGCCGAGCTCCCAGTGTAAAGCACACGCCTCAGCAGATCGGCTGAGATGCGAGAGGTTAGAAAGCACACTGGGTTCACATCGAAGCTCCCTGTCCCCGCCTCACCCAGTACTGTCCGCCTCTACATTTCTGAAGCTAGAGTCCCTGTGACTGTGTGCTTAGAGCTTAGGTGAGTGGTTTCTGGCTGCGAAAATAAACTGAGACTTCTCAGGAGTTCAGGAAGTATAAACACGCATAAACAGAGAAAGCCAGCCTTGTAACTCCCAGCTGCGGTCTGCAGGTGGGAGCGGCTCTTCGGTCCTCGTGGCCCAGAGAGAAGGGGCAGAGGGAGAGGGCGGGCAGCAAGAACGCTCCCCGCGGTCAGAATGGGGGTTTTAGCAGCTGGTCCTGCTCCACATCTGAAAGCTCGTGTCCACCTCCTCGCAGCTGCGTTATGCTGAGTACCCTTCCTTTCCCCGTGCACTGCGAGTGCCCAGGGGCCTCCCCACAGACACAGACAGCCCCCTTCAGGGACCCTCATTGCCCAGGGCCAGGTCAGCCACCCGTACGACTCAGAGACCCCAGAAAGGCTGTCACAGTTATGGGATTTTTAGTCTTCTGTCCAGAGATATTCCTGTTTCTGCGTCTCAGTTAAAACGCACACCATGCCCAAGGCGGCCCCTGTGAGCACACAGGCACCTCGGTGGAGCAGGCTCTGACACCCGCCCTCGGAGACCTGTGCCGAGGAAGGGACACCAGTCAGGGCTCGGAATCGCTCGACCCCGCTCCCTGCTCTCCACCAAGGTGGCTGGCTTGCTGGCCTGCCAGGCTGTCCCTCAGAAAGGCCACCCACGCCTCTGACTCTGTGAGGTTGGGTGGGGTACTCTGCACACCTCAGACTGTCCCTGCAAGAGCACAGCATCCTGACCCCAGGCACCCCAAAGCTGGTGCCCCCTGGGGGGCACATGCACACCCAGGGTGACTCCTCTCACCACTCCTCCATCTGTGAGCGCTGTGCCCTCCTGAGTGGGACCAGGAGTGTTCTGCTTTCCAGAGACCCATGCCCTGGTAGTTCCCTCAGCAGGCACTGTCTCCCCATGCTGTCTCCCGCAGGTGTTCGATATACTGAATGGAAAACCATATGAGCCAGAGTTCACACCCGACGACGTACCGGTGCAAGGTGGGTTGTGGTGGAGCGAGCTGCTTAACCAGCGTCATCTCCCAACTGTCGCTGGGGACGAGAGCAGCCACACAGGGCTCGCTGTGAACGGCACAGCTCTGGCTTAGAACCGGAGACCCTGCAGGCCCAGGCGGCAGGCACCAGCCTGACCCACCGAGAATGACACTGCGCTGCTTCCAGGCTCGAGAACAAGCCTGGCCGCTTGCACTGGGCGATGGTGGGCAGGCGAGGTGGCAGTGTCAGCCCCTCGGAATGTCTCTGGTGGGTTAGGGCAGCAATCCCCAACCTTTCTGGCATCTTAGACCAGTTTTTTGGAAGACAGTTTTACCCTGGTCCTGGGGGAAGCAGGGGAGTGGTTTCGAGATGATTCAAGCACGTAACAGCTATTGTGCACTTCCTGTGTATGATATTACATTGTAATAATGAAATAATTACACAGCTCACCACAGTGCAGCATTTGCAGCTGCTCCCCAGTGCTAGCATCACTGCCTCAGCTCCACCTCAGGTCATCAGCTTAGAGTTCCGTAAGGTGCACGTAACCAAGACCCCTCACCTACGCAGTTCGCAATTGGGTTCTCGCTTCTATGGGAATCTAATGCCTCCCTGACGGGACAGAAGGCGGAGCTCAGGCCATGACACAAGCGATGGGGAGTGGCTGCAGGTTCCCATGAAGCTTTGCGCACTCACCTGGCCACCGCTCACCTCCTGCATGGGGCCTGCATCCCACTAGGCCATGGACCACCAGCTTGGGGGCCTCTGGAGTAGGGCAACTGCATTTCTTTACTCCCTTCAGGAGACATGAAGCAGCTGGCGGAAGATGCAAAGCTACAGCTCTACAAGTTGCTAGACATTCCTGATCCGGACAAAAACTGGGCTACTCTGGCACAGAAATTGGGCCTGGGGATACTTAATAATGCCTTCCGGCTTAGCCCTGCCCCTTCAAAAACACTGATGGACAACTACGAGGTAACACATCACCCACCCTCGAACGGTTGTGTGAAGACGCTGACCAGGGTGCAGTCCTCTTCCTGTTCCTTAACTCTAAAGAAGGAAAGCGACCATTGCCCCAGGCCTGCGAGGGTGACCCAGGCCAGGATCGAAGCCCCTTTCCTGAGAATGCTATTTGCAGATATCTTGTAAAAATGCCACCTGGAAAGTCAGGGTAGTCACCGCTCTCTGATCCGCTGAGCAGACACACTAGACGGCCTCTGACCCCCAGACCAAACACACGAGGCTGGGATTGCCGTACACGTCGCCCCCTCGCCCACGTGTCAGGTGGAGGCAGAGTTCTGTGGGGCAACCCTAGTGGAGCCGTGCCCTGGCGATAGGTTCATTTCTAAAAATAAGAGGTGGAAAAACGTGGGGTGAAATTTTCTCCTGAAAATGCTGTTGTCAGCCATTGTCTCTGTGGACTTTGGAGCTTCGGCTCATACAGGGCTGCCATGTGGACAGCCCTGCAGGTCACTGGGCCCCCTCAGCACCTCACACCGGTGCCTTCCCCCTCGCGGAGCTGTTCTAGTGAACTGCTGTGCGATTTCCCAAGTGCTCTCCGAGCTGACACAGCGGCCAGGACTCAGCCTGTGAATGTTCTCGGTCCCTCTCCCTGCCCTGTCTGTGCCACGGGCCCCGAGTGGAGGAGACAGCAGGGAGAGGGCCAGGAGGGGGTGGGTGTTCACGCCCACACAGAATCGTGCACACACAGCCTACTCACACTCACTGCTTCCCCGCAGGTCTCCGGGGGAACAGTCAGAGAGCTGGTGGAGGCCCTGAGACAGATGGGCCACACTGAAGCCATCGAAGTGATCCAGGCGGCCTTCTGCACCTCGGCACCCATGGCCTCCAGCCCAGGGAAGGCCTCCTCACAGGCCCGCTCTCCTCGCTCGCCCTCTGCCACCAGGCAGCAAATAGGTAAAGGGAGCAGCTTCCCCGTCCCCCAGGCCTGCGTCCCCCGTGCTCAGGCCTAGGCCTGTGCCCACCCGCCATCTCCTGTGGACGCCCTGAGCGGCATCTCTGAGGGGCCTTTCACAGGGCAGGCCAAATTGACGGGCAAGTTACTTAGACCTGCAGTAACTTAAGAATGCAGTGTGGCTGCTCAGGAGGGTGTAACTTCCCTCACTTTTTAAATTTAGAGAGAAAAATTCAGAGAAAGGAGTGCAGAGTGCAAGGTTCAGGGCTCAGGTCCAGCAGCCGGGTTAGACCCCCACTATAGCCCCAGCCCCACCCCTGCCCATCATCCCCTCCCTCCAGCCTCCTCTCCCCTGCCTGCCGCAGACTGGCCTCCCACTCTAAGCCCCGCCACCCACTCTTCCACCGGAGCGCGCCTGACTGTAGGGAGTGGGTGCTCCGCACTGCCTGGCCCGCAGTCCTCTGTAACGTACCCCCTCTGACCACCCGCTCCGGCCTTCTAAATCCAAGACCGCTCCACCCCTTCCCCACCCGGTGCCCGGCCTCCACTCAGCTGCACACTGGACGTAACCAGGGCTCCCGGCCTTGCTGGCGTGGTGGCCTTCTGTCTGGGCTCTGAGACTTCAAGCCTGTGAGCCCCTTCCCCGGGGCCAGCCCCTCCTCTGCCCCGGCCATGTTCTTTGCTCCAGACCTCTCCTACCATAAGTACTTCCTTCCCCCAGCTAGATCACCTGGCAGAGTTCCCTCCTTTTAAAACAGAATTCCCTCCCCTTAGCCTAGTGGTTAAGGCCGTCAGATCCCACATGGCCAGCTGAGCAGTTCGAATCCTGGCTCCGACGGCTTGAAAAACATGCTGGGCGTGTGTACCTGTGTGCCCACAGTCCTGACAGGGTGGGGCCGAGGACGAGGGACTGCTGCGACCGTTCCCGTCAGGTGCGCTCTCTGCACCGCACTCGCAACCTCTGGCGGTTAAAAATCCAAAGACAAGGTCACGCCCTGATCCCACCTCCCCCGTACCTACTCTGCTCTCCACGCAGCAAAGTTCTCAGAACCTTCTATTCCCAGCTCTCAGCTCAGCTCCATCCCACTGACCTGCCAGGCTCCAGCCTGTCCCCGGCATAACCAGACCCAGGCACCATCCTTCCCATCTCCTCTCTCCTCCCTGCCGACCCTGCCTCCCACCTCAGAGGTTCCCATCTTGCTGGTCCACAGCCCAGAGCCCAGGCCAAAGCTGTCCTGCCCTCTCTGCGCTAAGCTCAACCCCCCAGCCCGGCTCAGGAGGGGTAGGCTCCCTGAGAACCGCCCCCTCAGCCCTGCCCTGCACACCCATATGAGACACTCAGCGCCCCCCCCCCCCACAACCCACC